ATCATTTCCAACAAGTGACAGGAACACTTCAGGCTTGGAAGAACAAATGGTGTCCCCGTGATCTGCAGTCCAAGCAACCCAAGCACATGAGCCCAGCAGTATTTGAATAAAAAGTACATTGTAAAGTAACCCCTCATGTGCAGCAGCTCAGGAGAGAATCACTTGCAGAACAGCAAAGTGGCTTTTGGTGGGTGCAGACTCTTCCTGCTGGGTGCTGACCCATCCCACCCCTGAGAGCAGCCCCAGCCCTGCCTGGGCTCCCTGTGGGCATTGTGGCTCCATGTGACTCCTTGTCCCTCCATCAGCTCTTCAAGAACACGCCCAGCTCCCCGAGCCCTGCCTTTCCTGCAGCCCAGCTCCACGTTCCCCCTCACTCCCACCCCTGTCACACCCCCAGGAGCTGTGGGGAGCTTCCTAGCCAAACATTCCAAGGCAGGAACCAGGGCACGGTGCAGCTGCTGCAATGCAGCACTCCACCAGCTCCCACACTCCACAAACATCCTCTGCCAGCACAATCCTGCTAATTGGGGTCGGGCTAAATTTAAGTTCTATTTAGTTTCCTTGAAGAGAGAAAAACTTCGGGGAAAAAAAAAAGAATCTCTGCCTACAAAGGGAATAAGAACAAGGTCTCTTGAGGAGTCAGAGACTGGGATGGATTTGCTGTATCTCACAGCTTCATAAAATTGTGACAGGACATGGGATTGTTGGGGTGTCTGTGCAGGGCCAGGAGTTGGGCCAGATGATCCTGTGGGTCTCTCCCAACCGGGAATGCCCCCTGAATTTGTAAAACAAACCAGCAAGGCAGGTGGCAACTGCACCAACCCAACTGAGAGCATTTCTGAGGGCAATGGAGAAACAGCAACTCCCAGCTGAGCCTGGTCTGCTGCCAAGTGACGCTTCCCTGGCAGGGAAGCATCCCAAGCCCAGCAGGAGCCAAGAGATGAGTAAGGCACTGGATGGGATGCAGACAGGACCCTTCAGGCAGGCTCCACGGGGTGTCTGGAGCTGACTGGAGAAATATTGTGCAAACCAACATACTTGAAGGGAGCATTACCACAGGCTCTGCCAACAGAGAAGTCCAAAATCCCTCATATCAAAACTGGTTTTACTCCTGCAGGTCCCGCCCATCATTCAGTGCTGACATGTGACAACAGAGAAGAAAAGGACACCCTGCTGAGACTTTCACTGGAAGCAACACACCTATGCATACCCAGCCCCATGCCCAGGAGCCTTGTGACTCCCAATTCCCTCTTTCCCAAGCAGCTTGGAGCACAGACAATTTTGAAAAAGAATCCTGTGATCTGCCCATGACTCAGAACCTCACCAGAGAGACTGGACAGCAATGCTTCCTTCCCTCCATTCCCTTCCCTCCAAGGGCCTTTAGGGAAGGACTGCTTGGCACCCCATGGAGGTGTAACTCTTACACTGGAAGGGCTCCAGCACTGTTTGGACAGCTCAGAGTGTCAGCACAAACCAAACTGGAACTGAAAAGCAAACACAGCAAATTCAACCCCCAGGACACTGCCCAGTACTCACCATAGTCCCCACCATGAATCACCAGAAACACAGGAGAGTTTGGAGTGCAATGCTCATCCTTTACTCCTGTTAAATCCTCACCTTCCCCACTGTAGCTGCCTGGCATTCTTGCTCAGACCCACACAGGACACTCAGGGAAATGACAAGGCACACCCTCCCCAGGGCAGCAGCACCACCAGCCTGCCGCTGCGCTCTTCCTGCCTTCCCCAGGCACCCTGCCCTAGGGAGAAACCTGGGCACAGACAGATCATACCCTGATCCTCAGAGCTGCAGGTTCTGTCCTGCCAGCCTGGGAGGCACCTCCCAGCAGGGAGAGCATGGCCTCACCTTGGGTACAGGCCCATCCCAAAAACTCAATGCCACGATGGCACACTGGTTTGCATTAGGAGCCATAAAGGCCCACCTGGGTCAGCACCTGGTTCCTGGCAGTGCTCAGGAGCTTTGGGAAAGGCAGGAGGAGGGAGCAAGTGACACTCAGTGCACTCCTGCAGCCCCATGCAGGGAACAGGGTCAGGGAACCTCTGAGCCCAGAACTGCTGCCTGGGTTACCCAGCCGAGCACACAGCCCTTGCCAGTGCCACATTCTCAGGCAAGTAACAAAAATCACTGATCCTCAGTGGGACTTTAGTCCTTTTCTGAGCCGTGGGGTCTTCAGGCAGGACTCCAGAAAACCTCCCAGCAGTGCAGTTGCTGTCTCAGCTGCAGGCAGCTGAAATGCACTGCCAGGTGCTGCCTGGAACACCCAGCTCAGACAACCACAAAATGCTCTGCTAGGTCAGGGCTCGGCAAGTGCAGCATGTGGAGCTTTGCAGGATGGCACCCCAGGGCTCCTGCTTCCTAACAGCAAACCAGGGCACATCCCTGCATCACTTTCCTCCTGTGCATCCCATGCCAAATTTATCCTCCTCCTAACAGCAGCTCGGAGGATGCAGAACAAGGGATTACTTGCTGAGCCCACAGAAAGACAAGGTACTGCAGTAAGTGAAACATCTCCTCTGTGTTTGCAAATCCCCTCTGGGTACACAGCAAACATGTTCTTCTCCTCATTAAGCAATCTGAGGCAGCTGCCTCGGTGCAGCGTTTATTAAAAAAATGCTAAACTTATTGCAGTTTTTGTCCTTATTCCTTTTATTCTCTCATTCTGCTTCCCATTCACTAAAACTGAGCACAGTTTCAGAGACCCCTGACTACAGAATTTAGGCTGCTCATGTTGTTTCTCAGCAAATTCTTGAAAATTTGTCATCGTCACAAAGCTGATAACTAAGAAAATTCTTAGCATAACTCCAGTTTGTTTCAGTATTGCATTTCTGAGGTGCACACGATGCCTTGTCACTCACTGCAATCGCTAGGGATGGTGGCATTTGCTCCATCAGCCCCAATAAATATTTTCGGGGAGGGACATTGACCCAACAAAACCATCACAAGCTTAAACAAATCAATGAACGTAATGGGTTTTTTTCCTTTTTCTGAACTCCCACGTTTCAGGTTGTGATTCCAAAGTATCACCAGCAGGTACCACACTCAGCCACAGCATGCTCTGAGCTCCTGGAAAAAGCACTTGATGTTCTGATTATGAGAAGCAGCTTTTTAAATTCACCTCAGGCCCCTTTCAGCAGGTCAGTGCTGCAAGAGGCTCCATGACTGAGCTACACTAGTGCTACAGGAGGAGAGAATCTTAAAATGCTGTGCATGCACAGACCCAGAAATGTCTCCACGAGCCCCATCCTGGGGCTTGGAATACAGGTCAGGGAGCTGAATCACATGGAAAACAACAATCCTGCTGTGGGAAATGGAGTCATGCCCCTGTTGGCAACACTCAAATTGGATCTGCTTCACTCCAGGGAGCTAGGAAAGGGCTATTAAATCGAGGGTGAAAGCAGCTGGTGACTCCTGAGCTGAGGGACATCATTAGGACAGCTCAATCAGTGTCACCCCAATGTGTGGGATGGTGGGCAGAGACCAGGACAAGGACAGAGCTCCCAGAGACCGTCAAACAAGAACCTCCAGTGGAGTTCAAGCAGTTTAGTTCAGCTCAGGATGTGTCTTTGAATGGTAAATAAACCACCCCTTGAAGCTAGGGGAAGAAGTCGGCACAGAGGGCAGGGAAAAGCTTCAGCCATCACTGACTTGTGCCTAAGGAAAACAGACAGGAGAAGGGCTGGGGTGGGAGGGAATTCCCTCCTGCCCATCAGTGAGCTCACTCTGCTCTCATGGCTCCTGCCCTCAGGAGTGCTGCACAGCGTGCACATAAAACCAGCTCCAGAGCCACATGGTGCTGTGAATTACCCACTCCTGATGCAGTTCCTATAGGTCAGCGCCTGCTCCTGACTCCAACCATCTCTGGTGCTTTGCAAGCTCCAATAAGGATCTCTGCTGGCTCCAACTGAGCCACTGCACATGCTCTGCACCAGCTGGTGGTGAAACACTTTTATGTGAGGTGAGGGAGTGCACATCTCTGTTACCAGCCAAATCAGCTGGAAAGACAGCAAGAAATGCCCTTTGCCAGCCTTTTACAAAAAGCATTTCAATGAACAAAAAGTCTGAAAACTCAGTGAAAACTTTTAACAGAGAAACTCCTTTCTGGCCCCACGCATCCTGTCACTTCTCCCTCTGCCTGCACATCAAAGCTGGGAGACACCAGATTGACAACTCTGGCACAAGGGATCTGCTGCAAAGCCACCCAACAGATCCCATCACTGCTTTCCGGACGGCCCTAACTCCTGGGCAAACCACCTACAGCCCACAGCTGCTCCAGGCTGCGTTCCCAAACATCCCTGGGTGTGGGAACAGCTGAGCCTGGGGATCTGGGACAGCAGCCCAGTGCTCTGGCTGCTCCTCAGCACTGCAGGAACCTGGACTGGAGGTGGCACAGGGAAAGGGCAGGAAAGAGCCCGTGAAATCTACATTCATCCCAGTAAGAGTGGTAATGATTGTGTAATTTTGTTCTTGGAATGGACAAGTTTGCACCCCTGCCTCCCTGAACTGTTGATGGGGAGGGAAAAGGCTGAACAGAGAGGAAAAGTCAGCTGTGAGGAAACACAATTCAGTTAATTCCTGTAAATCCTGTGAAATCCAAGGAAAAGGCAGATGAAGGATTTACCATGCAAACTGTGCTAGAACCATACGAAGGTACTGAGTTAAGAGAAATGTAGGGGCTTAACATACCTGTTAATTAATCACTGACACTGACATACAAATAAAGCCTATATTCCTGGAAAAAAAAAATTGAAGACTTGAAGAGGTTGAAAATCCATCTGCAGGAGCTGCAGCCGCCTTCAGTGTTCCCACATTGAACCACGACACTTCCCACCTCGAAGCACAGTGTTTGCTTCTCATTAGCCTCAGTTTCCCATTCAGCCATGGATTTGTGCCACACATTTGTGTCCCAGCACCACCCTGAACAGCCATGGTCACCCTGACAAATTCCCAAGAGAGGAAGAGCTCAGGAGCAGGTTGCTTCTTACCATCATGGCCAGAGTTGAGCAGGTGCTCCCCCAGGTCACAGCCAAACACCCTTTCCTTGAGGATCCCCCGCTGTTTCAGTTTCTGTTTCGTTGGGCGCGACTTCATGAATGTCCGGAGGAAGGTGATGAGCTTCCCGTGCTTCTTCGACACTGCACAAGACAAGGAACAACCAGCTCATTCCACACCTGGCAACCACTGAGCAGAACTTCTACAGAGCATGCAAGAACAGTAGTAGCATCAATACCAATTATTTACAGGAACAGATTTCCCAAGGTTTGACACTAAACAGACACTTGGCTTTTGTCCCAGCCCTTGGCTAGTGCGGAGTTACCGGGAGCGAGCTGGAATGGAAGGACTAGCACAAAGACGCGTTTCCTGCAGAGTAGCTCCAGGCAGGAGCCACCTGAAAGGCTGATGGTGGGCAGCACCTGGGAGAGGCAATTTCATCTCTGGGAAAGGGAATGAGGCTCAACTGAGAAATCAGGTAATCTACTGTGCAAACCAGTGTGTAATCTACACACAGAAATAAAGCTTTGTGATCGGCCCTTGCTCTTGCCTGAGGCCCCTGCAGAACAAAGGGCTAGCTATAATCTCTGAGGCTGAGCAGGCAGAGCTCCCTCAGAGCCCAGCCTGCCTTCCCAGCACACCAGGGCCTCACTGCCCCTCACTACACCTGCACTCACTGCACCCTAGAGCCTCAGCAGCTCTGTTCTCAAGCCATCACAAAATAAAAACAGACTCAGAGAGTCACTTACAGAGGTTGGAAAAGCCCTCCAAAGCTATCAAATCCAACATGTGCCAATTCCCCCACTGTCACCCTGCCCAGAGGGCTGAGCACCACACCCAGGTGTCCCCGGGACACCTCTAGGGATGGGGACTCCACCAGCCAGCCCACTGAGCAGGTCACAAAGGCAGCTGATTGAAGAGATGCAGTTTGTCCTCTCCAGAATGAACACAAGCAGCCTCCAAAGAGAGGAGGATGTGGCTCAGGAGCCGCCTTCCAACCTCCTGCTCTGTCCCTCTGGGCTGTGCTGGGGAATCTCTGGTCCCTCTGCTGAAACCACCTGCTCAGGAGCTGAACCCCAGCGCAAGGCAAAGGAGAGCAGTGGGTGACAGCAATGACTTGGCCCTGGCAGGAGAGGCCGGGCTCAGGTTGAATGGGAGCAGAACAATGCCCTGGAATGTCAATGTTCCTCCAGAGGCCCTCAGAGCCTCCCCAACAAAGGTGCCATTGTGTACACAATTTAAAAGCAGTTTAATTCAACAGAAGAGCTCTACTGAAGGGAACAAACTGCTGGGTACAAAGGGTGTCTTTTGTGGAAGCCTTTGCAGCTCGGGAAGTTGTAAAGGCTCTTGCAGCAGCAGCAGCAATCACCCTGCCCTGCTCCTCCCTCTCATCCCAGGCAGGCAAGACAAGAACCGTGTATTCCACCTGCATTAACACTGCACAAACACTGCAATCAGCACAGTAACACCTTCCACAGCAGCGAAGATCCCTGGGGACAAAGGTTCATCCCTTCAGTGTCACCTCTGCTGCCCAATGAAATGTGAACTACAGAGAGCAGTTCTGAAACTGGGACTCAGCAAAGCAGAGATGGATGGACACTGCTTCACTCAGCGGGTTCTTCAAGCAGGGAACATGAAAAACCTTGTCCCAAGATCGTGGTTATACCACACAATGCTTCAGGATGCTTTAATCCCTTCACACGGCTGAATATTTCTCCTTCCATTTTACCAGACACTGACACAGTCCCTCTACTGATATAGGTAATAAACCTGATATATGTATATTTATATAATAAACCTGATTCCACTGACCTTAACAAATTTCACTGATGTGAGGAAAGCAAATGTCTCCTTCTGCACAAAGTCCCCAGTTGCAGTACAACAGCAAACTGACCCTCAGCACCACCTGAATACCTGAAATCCCAAAATCCCCACCAAACCAAACCCCACATCTGCATCCTCAGCAATCAAACCCAATTTATTTAACAACCACAGGAGCCTTAAGCATGACAAAGTGTGGCTGTGGGGGCTTTAATTAAAGGAGTGTTTGCAGTTTGATGGGGTTTTTTAATTGCACGCAATAAAGGAACATATTGTGCTGACATGCCAAACAAAGTTAGGATGGGGTTTGGTTGTATCCATCATCACAGGAAAATAAGGGCTCATTTATCACCTGCTATCGGCCTCAAGGATAAATGGAGACTGTCTCATCCTGATTAGTGTGGAATTTCCATGGTTAGCAGCCTCGGGCTGCTGTGGTAACACCACTGGAGGTGAGAGACCTGAGACAGATGCTTTTACAACAGGCAAACAGAGCACCTACTAATCCAAATAAAGCAGTCATTAATATGTGTTTATTCACTTGAATCAGTTCACACTCTGTATACTATGTACCTTGCTTGACTTAATGAAAAACAAGCCAATCAGAGAATGGATTTTAAGTGGAGAAAAATGCATCCAATTCTAGTCCTAAAGAAATTCTGCTACTAATGGAGATCAACAAATGACTTTTTGGTGTCACCTCAGCACTAAAACCAGAAAAAAACCTGCAATGGGTGCACTTCCATGGTCTAAAGATGTATTTGGGTTGGTACTGGCATCACTGACCAGAAAAGTGAGCTGAGTTTTTAAAACACAGTAAATCTGTTCTGCCTTTAAGCCACTCAGTGCAGGTTAAAATAATTGTCCTGCTTTCTGCACCATTAAGCAGACTCCCACAAACTCCCTGCCACAGAGAAGTGCTGCAGCAGCCAAGGACTCTGCGAGGGCAGGTTCAGCCACCAGAAATGCCCTTGTCCCCAGCCTGTGGAAGTGTTAGCATGGCTCCTTGGTGCCACAGAGCCTGCTCTGGCTCACTGCCTGCTCTGCAAGCCTCTCTGAGGCTGAGCCCAGCTCCGAGGGCTGTACCCACGCAGGAATGATTCACTCGGGCTTCTGCTGGGAGGGGGAGAACAAGAGAACGGCAAGAAAACCCAAGCAGCCACCTCCCTGCTGACAGGTTATTAAGGAGAAGGAAAGCAGGTAGGTGTCAGAGCGGGGTGAGCTCTGCTCCTGAGCTGCGGGAGCTGCCTCCTGCAGCAGCAGCAAAGGTGGGATCCCCCCACCCTCAGGCACTACCGACCCTTGAGCACCAGCGCATCCCGAGGGATTAACTCCCGCCGCATCCTGGCTTGGGTGAGCGCAGCACAGCAGACCCAGGCTCTGGACAAGTGCCAGTGCCAAAAGCTGCCAGGAACGCTGCAAAATCTGTGTTTTCTGCTCCAAAACACCCATCCAAGGCTTCGCTGCCCCACAGGTGACAGTGACAGCAGCAGCCAGCAGTGCTCTCCTGCCGCAGCACCCGTAACTGCCCTGCACCCAGAACTGGTGACTGCAGGAAAACCAGGGAATCAAGGCACAGAGTTTAGACCTGAAACAAATCTACAAGTGTTGCAAACCAAGCAGATGTGCATAAAACAATTAACCCTTTCCTACCATTACTGTCCCTCTAATACAGCAGGGGCATGATAGAGCTGATCCACTCACAGTTTGAGTCTCCACACAAGATGCTCATAGAAATAAATTCGGGAACCAGCATTACTAACAGAAAATTTCAAATGGTTGCTGTGCTTTAAGTTACCAACTGAAAGCCAAACCAAACTAAACAAAAATTCTAACATTTATCCATATTACTTTCCACCTCAGACTTAACCAGTAAAAAATACATTGTTTACCAAGAAATGGGAGACTTTCCTAGAAGGAGCAAGGACTGCTTTCCTCAGAAAGGCAGATTTGGCTTAATATCCTGGCCTGAAGAAGCAAAGATAAATTCTCCATCCGGTAGAGAGTGCCTGGCTGCAAAAAACCCCCAAATGAAACCCAACTGAAAAACCCCACCTGAGTCTGGGCCACTTTTGAAGTTTTGCTGGCACAAATATATCAATTAGGAGCACACAAAAATCTCCCCCCCCACCCTTTGCTGTCATAACTGTGCTGGCCAAAGCCTTTACATGGTGGGGAGGGGGGGAAGGAAAAGGATTCCTTGTGCCAGGTAGTTCATTGTGGCTTTGGGAAGCTGCCCAGTACCTCTCCCAGGAACATTTATGGATCAGGCAGCGCTGTTGCTGTTACCACCAGCACTGGTGGTGCAAGTGAGGCCCCAAATCCCCCTGACACTGGTAAAAGCTATTAAATAACAACCACTACATTAAAAGCAAGGCTCCTTCACCCTCAGGACATGATTTCTGCAGCTTTACTGGAGAGCTGTGCCAGCCATCAGCTCCTCATCAGCTGCACACGCTTGGTCAGCACAACTCACCCCTCTGGAAGCCCACAGGGATCCCTCAGGATTTGCTGAGGACTCCCAAGCCTTCCTCTGAGCTCAGCCCATGGTGGCACTGCTGGGTGTCCCCACACCACAAGCTCAGCCCACGCTGGCACTGCTGGGTGTCTCCACACCGTTCCCTGAGGCTGAGCCACCGCTGTGACCTGGATTAGGAATAATCTGCTGCCCCTGATGCTCTTAAGGCAGAGCTGGGCCAGCCCAGGTGAGACAGCCCAGAACCGACCTGCTGCCCCTGGTCTTGATCCCTCCTGTGCCCCGTGGATCCATTAGGGATGCAGTTATTTGGGATTCACAGCACAGTCCAACAGCACCATGTGGCTCAGCCCAAGCTCCACAACTGATGTCTGGCCACAAAATCCTTCCCAAGACCACTGCAATATTTAATTCGAATTGCCCAAAGTGCTGCCAACAGAAGGAAAGGCAGGATGGCAAAGAGCACTGTCTCCTTCTGATTCCTTGGCTTTGGATCATTGAGACCAAATAGGAAAAACCCTTTTAACAAACAAAGGCAGCTTACTGTGTCCCCAGATTTCTTGTGCTCAGCAAGAAAAGCCCCCTGAGACAACAAAGGCTTGAGAACAAAACACAACCCAACCAACCCTGCAGCAGGACAGCATCTTCCAGCTGACTCATTCTGCCTCTTCCCAAAGGCCAGGGGACATCCAGGCAAGTGGTGACCTGGCAAAAGATTCTAGACACAGAATCCCAGAGTGGTCAGGGCTGGAAGGGACCTTAAAGCTCATCTTGTTCCAAACTCCTGCCATGGGCAGGGACACCTCCCACCAGACCAGGTAGCTCCAAGCCCCATCCAGGACAATG